GTCGGCCCTCCGCCGCCCGCCGCCTGCGGCACAGCGGGTGCGGGGTCGGCCGCCGCCAGGGCCGCCGCCGCCGCCATCGGGACCTGCGCCACGTCCCGAGTCTAGGCTGCAAAATTACAAACCACAGACCAGCACCATGGCCGGGCCGGCGGTGACAGGAGCCGGGCCGCCGCGCGGGCGGGGCCAGATACGCCGGCAGCGACGCGCAGGCTGATGGCGTAAGAGACCGCCTGTGTAGCTGCCGAGTGGGACTGCGACCTGGACGAGGCCCCGGGCGGAAGTGGGCGTCATCTAGGGGCTCTTGGCGGTTTAGGGCCAAGTGAAGGGTGGGCGGGGAGCGCGTTTTTTTCGAACCTCATTGTGGCCTCAGGCCTTTAATCTTTAATCCCAGCGCTCTGGAGGCAGAGGGAGACAGATCTCTGTGAGTTTGAGGCCAGCCTGGTCTACATAGCAAATTCCAGGCCAGCTAGGGCTACAGGGAGACCCTGTCTCAAAAAGACAAAACAAAACGACCCTGTCTCAAAAAGACAAAAAACAAAACAAAACAAAAAAACCCCAAAAAGTATTGAAGAATTAAAAAACAAAAAAATAAAAAAACCCAAAAGGTATTGAAGAATAGGGCCCAGAGAGGAAGTAATGTTAGCTAGAAGGAAAAGCAGGCGTGTGCCTGCACCCCGAAGGACAGAAGAGTATGACTGAGTTCAACTTGAGGCATTGGGGAGCAGTTCACTAAAGTGTCCAAAGACAGATCATAACAAATTGAAGTTAGCTATGAAGTAAAAAAACCCAAAAGGTATTGAAGAATAGGGCCCAGAGAGGAAGTAATGTTAGCTAGAAGGAAAAGCAGGCGTGTGCCTGCACCCCGAAGGACAGAAGAGTATGACTGAGTTCAACTTGAGGCATTGGGGAGCAGTTCACTAAAGTGTCCAAAGACAGATCATAACAAATTGAAGTTAGCTATGAAGAGTCTTAATTGCTTCACAGTAGGAACGAAAATTAAGTACTTCTTTGTCACAGCCACTGAGATAGAAATTTTCACAAAGCTGGGCGTGGTGGCATACACCTTTAATCCTAGCACTCAGGAGGCAGAGGCAGGCAGATCTCTGTGAGTTCAAGACCAGCCTGGTCTACATAGTGGGTTCCAGGACAGCTGGGGCTACAGGGAGACCCTGCCTCAAAAAGACCAAAAAAAAAAAAAAAAAATATGGCTTCACAAAGCTGACACCACAGGGAAATGGCATGGGGCTTAGACTGAAATCTTTATATATTATTTTTATTTTATGTGTATGTGCGCATTGCCTGCGTGTAGGTAGGTGCACCCTTGTGCAGTGTTCATGGAGATCAGAAAAGGGCATCAGATCCTTTGGAACTGGAGTGAAGGATGGTTGTTAGCTGCCATGTGGGTGCAGGGAATGGAACCCAGGGCCTATGCAGGAGCAGCCAGTGCTCTTTCTTAACTGCTGAGCCATCTCTCCAGCCCTAGACTGAAATCTCAACTGTCTTTCTCATAGAGTTCTACTCCAAAAACTGCCAGCATCCCAGGAAGGAGCATCGCCAAGACTGACTCCTGCAGTCTGAGGAAAACACCAGGTCTAAAAGCCAAAGTGGGACCTGCTGTTTCCTGCTTGAGGCGGAAGAATGACAATAGAACCCTGGGCTCTGACCGGGCTTTATCTCCTCAGAGGATCAGGCGTGTGTCCAGCTCTGGTAAGAATAAAGCAATTCAGCTATGCCGGCCGCAGTTTAGGAATTATTTGCATATAAAATTAGGCTTGGCGGAAAGCTGAAAGACCATCTGGTCATAGGACTGATGTGTTCTGTCATGAAATCATGTAGCCTTTTGTGGCCCAGCAGCCTGTACAGAAAAGGTTGAAAAAGACCACACAACCCTTACCTTTGAGTACTAAGCGTAGTTGGGAGATACCTGTGTGCTTAAACTTAACTCCCAGGCTATGCAGAAGCAGCAGGTGTAACTGTGCAATTGGCTAGCTATTGTCAACATGAATTGTTGCATTATTTTTTTTTAAATACTGAGTGTGATAGTACACACCTATAATCCTATCACTTGGGAAGCTGAGGCAGGAAGATTGCAAGTTCAAGCCCAGCCTGAGCTACATAGCAAGACTCCTTCTCAAAAACTTTTCTTTTAGGCCAACAAGATGACTCAGAGGGTAAAGCTGCTTGCTACTAAGCCTGATGACACGAGTTTGATCCCCAGATCACACATACTAGGAGAGAATAGACTCCAAGTTGCCCTCTGACTTCCACCTTGATACCCTGGTGTACATGTGCTCTAACAATAATGAAGATTGTACTTAGTAGTATGATTACCTTTTAGCTTATCAGGAGCTCTTCTCCATAAAAGCTGTTCCTTTTATTCCTTTCATTATGTCAATGGATGCACCTCTTTTTGAAACAGGGTGTGCACACACATGCACAATAAATAAATGTAATAAAATTTTTAAAAATTAGGTTTAAAAAAAACAGGTATGGTGTCACATGTCTTTTAAAATATTTATTCATTTTGTGTATGAGTGTATTGCCTACATGTGTGCAAGTGCACCCACGTCATGAAGTGCCTGTGGAGATCAGAAGACAGGGTTGGATCCCTGGAACTGGAGTTACTAACAGTTGTTAACCACCATGTGGGTGCTGGGAATCGAACCCAGGTTCTCTGCAAGAGCAGTCAGTGCTCTTAACTGCTGAGCCATCTCTCCAGCCCCGGCATATGCCTTTAATCCCAGCACTCTGATCTCTGTGAGAGCGAGGCCAGCCTGCTCTACATAGTGAGTTCCAGGTGTTCCAGGCCAGCTGTGGCTACAGGGAGACCCTGTTTCCAAAAAAAAAAAAAAAAAAAAAAAAGGTGCTTAACACATTGTACACATTGTAATGCTTTTAAGAGGTTCATAACATGCCCTTATCACATGTGAAGATTTTTTTTTCCTTTGAATTTTACTGAAAGATAGTTTGTAAGTTTACAGGGCTTCGACAGCAACTGAAAAGTTACTTTTTTAAAAAACATGAACTTTCCTTTATGTTGGCTTGGTTTTTAGAAGTTCCAGTTTTAGAGGCATGTTAGCCTGAAATTTGAGAGCACCAGGAATGGCTGTTGAGTGCCATGCTAAATTTGGCAGATGTAAGGTTGCTTTGTGTTATGAGCAGGAACAGCAAGTGAGAAATTCATCCCTGTTTCATAAGGGCTAAGATGAAAAGCCTGCTGGTCCCTCCCTCAGGGAACACTTCTCATTTCTGCAGGTATAGCCTTGAGCAAATTAAAGCCACGTCAGACAGATCCCTCATAAAAATCGTCACTACTGTTCTTAAAAAAAAATGTGCTTCTAAAGTGCTGTGTCCATACATGTGAGAACACTTTACAAAAGCCCAATAAAACCAGCTGAATCCCAAAGGATCTCTTTAGGGTACTACAATTTAGCAATGTTAGGTTTCATTTTCTGAGTCTACCTGAAGCTGCTGGTGTGAGAAACCTGTGCATGAAAGTGTGGCATTAAGAGTCATGGCCAATGTCAGTATGAGGCTTTGGGGAGGAGACCCCAGATGATGGTTTCCAGCTTGATTCTCTTTCCATCCCCAGAGGAGACAAATAGAAAGAGGGGTCCATGTCTGTGAAGAATTTATCCTTTTGGAGGAAGTAGTGGTCCTTGTTTGGGATATTGCCATGGTTGGGAGTTAACCAAGAGGGACCCCAGCTTTGGTCTTCACTGCTGTTACCCAATAGGGCTCCTGGTGCTCACTAGGGCTGGGGCACTCTTTCCTACATCACTGTTTGCAGCCTCCGGGTCTTGTTGCCACGTGGAGCTGTGGCCACTGGAGCGTTAGCCTGTAGTTAGGGACCGGCATACTTACAGGAAAAGGAGATACCAGAGTCATGTCTCAGCCTTATGAGATGCAGCAAAAGGGGGCCATCTTGAAAGCAGGAAGAGATCCTTGCTTGGAAGCAGTTGAGCTGAGACCTTGATCTTAGATGTCTCAGCCTCTAGAACTGTGAGAAAATAAATTCTTGTTGTTTAAGCCATCCAGTCTGTGGTGTTTGTCATGGCTACCTGAGGTAAAACAGAAGGCTGACTCGATTATGCAGTATTATGTTTTAAAAATTAATAACAGCTGACTTGTTTGGATGTTCACAATGAATTGAGAGGTATTTGTTGTGGGAGAGAGGAAATGTAATACCACCGAGTTAAAGGCAGAACAGAAATCCAGGAGCAAAAACAATGTGCCTTTAGATCATTGAGAGCCTTTTGACATTTACTGTACAATGAAGTGTTTGTGTGTTTGAAACCTGAAACTGAATGGATGTGCACTGCTGTCTTACAAAGTCACGGTGCTGAAAGGTAAGCAGTGAGAATGTTCCAGCCAATGTAGGCTTTCAGTAAATCCTTTCAGAAAACTAAGTAGAAAGCCAGACTGGTTAAAATAGCAGGGCATGAGAAAGAATACAATTAGACCCATCGGAGCATTTCCACTTTACTTGTCCAAATGTGGAAATTTGTATATGATGCCCAATTATAAGAGACTTTCACAAATTGAATCCAAAGTGCTTTTGCTTCTTTGGAGAAGTGTTTGTTGGTGTTTGCTTTTGCTTTTTTGGGGGCCTGGGGGGGTTGATGATACTGGGGATTGAACACAGGAACTCAGGGCCTAGAACATGTTAGAGCTCTGGGCACTGGGCTGTATCACCAGTTGGAAGTGTGAATATTTTTATTGTACTCTAATAAGATGAGATAATGATGGAAATTTTCCTAATAATTATTATAATGCCAATGATGTCAGTTCACTCAATTAAATGTATACCAACGCCTGGGCTCTGCTTAATCCTTCACCTCTGAGTTTATATAATCCTTACAGTGATTGTGGGAAGCTTGTTTCCAGTTTATAAGTCAAGAAACTACCACAGGGAGGCTACATGATTTACTGAGATTTCGCAAGTGGAAAGGGTGAAGGTGGGACTCAGACCAGGCAGAAAGGACTGACTCCAAGCTCTTGGCCTGACATTATCTCTAAAGACCATTGGTTGTGAACAGACAAGATTTTTTTTTGTCCTGAGTGGCTTAGAGACTATAGCCTTTTTCAGACCCTTGATTTCAATCTCTCTGCCAATTTTCCATGATAATTTTTAATTTTTTTTTTTTTTTTTTGAGACAGGGTCTCTCTGTAGCATCAGCTGTCCTGGAACTCTCTCTGTAGATCAGACCAGGCTGGCCTTGATCTTAGAGAGATCCACCTGCCTCTGCCTCCCGAGTGCTGGGATTAAAGGCATGAGCCACCAAGCCCGGCTCCATGATTTTATTTTGCAAGATTATTGAAACCTAATTATAGAGCAAGAGCTTAGTTCAGGAGGCTCCAGAGGTGGTATACCCAGCTCAGCCCTCTCAGAAATTCACTTGACAAACCCTTTCAGAGGCAAAAAACCAGTTACAACTAGACTTGACCTACTAAGAGTGTATGCTCTTCTGTAGTGAAATCACCCTCTGTGTGATTAGCCTGAGCCAGGTGGGATGACAGCTTAGGACAGAACGCCCTCCCTGCCCCAGGATTTATCCCACCTGGGAAGGGCCACACCGGCAAGCCCCCACCACAAAACCGTACAATGGCATGTGGAAGGGCTGCACACGAACTGTTCATTAGTTTTATTCTAGAGGAAGGGAAGTAACATTTGTGAAGAGTATACTTTCGGTTTGCTCAGCTCCTGTGGTTCATAAATTCCTTTCAGGCAGCAGAACACCCAGAACTCATAACAACTTGTCTGTTGTGGGTTTCTTTTTCTTTCTCATTCAGTTGCACAGCCTTTTGATTTATTGTAGACAGACTTTTTTCCCATTTATTTAGGGTTAAAATAATTTTTAAAAATTTAAAAATTATTCTATAGTATTTTCCAAGTTTGAGAGTGGTAGTAAAAGTAGGCTTTTTCTCATTTGTTTATGATAGTTATTAAAAAACTAGAAATTATCACTCTGCTCTAAAATTTTTAAGGTGTTGACAATGTATGTTTCTATATTTGTAATGAACTAAAACAGGTGCTTTAGAGTCAGTCTCGGGTCCTCAATTGCAATAGTAACAGTGGCTGACAAGCCTGAGGCTCATGATGTGCTGGGCACGATCCTACACTCTTAAATTTGTAATCTCATCAAATTCTCATAATTCATGAGAAATAGGTACGGTAATTATCCTCATTCTATATGCAAGCTCCTGATGGTTCGAAAGCTGAAGTAACTACTAAATCTACACAGCTGTTAATGAGTGAGCACAGGGAATGGGCCACGCAGACTTACCACAAACTTTGTTTTTAGCCCCTGTTCCTTACACATGTAACAGCCTAACACAGTCACTCTTTATTAGTAGACTTGAGTGCTTATTTCTGCCAGGAACTGTTCTTAGTGCTAGGGATAAAGAGCACAGAAAGGCAACTCTCCAAAACCAGATGTGGCAGCACATGACTGTAATCCTGATACTCAGGAGGTGCTGTTAGAAGGATTGTATTTTTTTTTTAATGTGTATGGGTTATATCTGTCTTGATTAATGCCCGAAGTCAGAAGAAGGTGTCAGATCCCCTGGAACTGGAGTTACTGACCATTGTTAGCCACCATGTGGGTGCTAGGAATTGAGCCTGGGTCTTCTGCAAGAGCAGTCAGTGCTCTTAATTGTTGAACCATCTGTACAGCTAAAGATTGTGAATGCTTAGCCAGCCTCAG